TGATGATGATGATGAAATGTGATTAATCGTGCAGCTCTAATTTAAAGTTAATGGATTTTCCATCCATTTTTATTTATGTGGAAACATGTGGAAGTAACAAAAGTATGCTGCAGAATACAGGTTGATAAAGGGTGGAGTTCTCCTTTAAATGTATATGCAGAAGCCCAAAACCATAACTTTACTCTGTGAATTTGGTTCCTGAGTGCCTGTGTGTTTTGCTGCTGGACTCACCTGAGCGAGGGAGGAAATGAATGTGTGTTTGAGTCATGCATCGTTCTCATTGTTCATCTCTCTTTGTTCCTCTCCTGTTTTTTTTTAGGGCACAAAACGTACGCAAACACAGCAAGCCGGGCTCCGTTCCCTTGGTGACTGAGAAGGAGAAACACGTGGTGACTGTAGTGGAATAATGACGTGCCAGTTCACCAAAGTGCTTCAGTCATCCCGAACGAACACACCCATCTATTAAAGACATTTTGCCGTGAAGATCCCTCCAGTAAAGCCATTCCAAAACTTCTTTGGTGATCAGCAGTTTTCACCTAATCCATATTTAACTTTGTGTTTTGGAGGACTGTCTGGAGACCAGCTGTGACTGTCATAGTGGGATGTTCCTTTTGTTATCGCTGTAAAGAATCTGCCAAGTGATTTCTATACTCCACTTGGCTTATTATTATGGAGTATTTCTAAGCTGTTGTACAGCAGCAAAGTGTCATGTTCCTAAATGTTTACGACCTGGATCACCCACAGACCTTGGAGAAATAAAATAGACTTTATACAATCATAACCTCAAGATTTCTCAAGTTTCTATAGAAATAAAAAAAAAACACAACGAATGTTATTTATTATACAACAGTAGTTCTGACCACACAGTCTGGTCATACCAGTATCCAGTGGAGAACCCTGTGAGGGCCATCTAGGCCTTCATGGAAACCCTGATTATGTCTGTCATTTGTACTTCAATTTCATTTAATAGAATCATTATGACTGTTGTATTTGAATTCTGCAAGTATCATAGTAATACTCTTAATTCACAGATACATTTTGATTGGAAACCAAAGGGATAAAATTTTGAAAGGTCAACAAAACATTGTCCAATCAATTTTTTTCTACATGGCTTCTAGATGGATACACCCAAACAAGCTTTCCCATTGGTTAGGCCTTCAGGAGCCAGACTAAAGACCTTACACACATTAAATACCAACATAATTAGGAATTGACAGTTTTGACATTTATGGCCAAAATCCCAAGGGCCTAGCTCTAATCATGGTTTGCCACGGTATGTATCGTTCCACAAAAGCTGTATTTGATGAAAGACGTTAGCAAGTTTAAAAACATTTGAGACGTTTGGAGTTTTTTTGCTGTTTTTCTTCACTTTGCAAAACTGTAATATGAAACCAACAGAACACTCAATGTTGTGTGTTATCATGAATAACATCACAGCTGCGATATGATATCATGTTGTCTGTTACTTTTGTATTGCCTGGTTGAAGTGGTTGGCTATCTCTGATAAACCCCTGTTGATACCTGATAATTACCTTGGCACCCTAACGAGCGAAGTTCATTTAATCAGTCCTCCTTATCCCTTTAATCTGAGCTTTGCCTGCCTCCCTGCGCACTCCTTATTCTATAATCTCATCATTTCAATCTCCTCAGCTCAATCTCTGCTTGGCTTTCTCCACTGCTGTCTCCACTCTTCTGAAGGAAGCCTTCAGAAAAAAATGGTGGTGGTCACTCATATGGTGTCTGCCCTTTTAAGGCTAGTGGCAGTAGGGTGCGTGTGTTTTTCTTTTATTTCTTTTTCCCCCCATATATGCTGCGTTAAATATAGTAAGTTTATATCATGGATCATTCTTGGCGCTGCACTTGTCACACTGACGTTGCGCTGGTACTAGTGGATCAGACACAGCAGTGCTGCTGGAGTTTTAAATGCTGCAGTTTCACTACTGGACTGAGAATAGTCCACCAACCAGGGGCTAACAGCATCCTGTGACCAGTGATGAAGGACTAGAGGATGACCAACACAAACTGTGCAGCAGCAGATGAGCTGTCGTCTCTGACTTTACATCTACAAGGTGGACCAACAAGGTAGGAGTGTCTAATAGAGTGGACAGTGAGTGGACACAGTGTTTAAAAACTACAGCAGCACTGCTGTGTCTGATCCACTCAGACCAGCACCGCATCAGTGTTACTGCAGTGCTGAGAATGATCCACCACCCAAATAGTACCTGCTCTGTGGGGGTCCTGACCACTGAAGAACAGGGTGAAAGGGGGCTTACAAAGTATGCACAGAAGCAGATGGACACCTATATGGGACAAGCAGGCAGGTGTAATGTTACGGCTGGTCAGTGTTGTCCGTTGAGGCCACGTATTCAGTTCAAGTAGAAAAATGCCCCATTGATCTGCCCTTATGGACGTTAAGCTGTGAGTGAGCGAGTACACATCACTGTGAAGGCCGCTTTCAGAGTCTCTGCTCCTCTGGCCGCGGTGGTGAACGCAGGCGTGGGAAATCCTCCACTATGAATCGACTGGTTATTAGTGGACATTTCTGGCTCGTGCTATTTTTAGAACACGGTGCTGATCCTGTAGTGTTCACTCCACTCCGGCTTTTCGAGCTGCTCCCCTCCTGGCTGTCAATGAACGAGCGTCCTCCCCCACGAATATGCGTGTTATTGCTTTTCCCACCTGTATTCGGACGAACCCCGCCTCCTGCTCTAGGATTGGCTACTAGTTTGTACTCAGTGTGCTGTGATTGGCTGTAGTATCTACTCTCCTACGCTGCGATTGACTAGTAATATGAAATTTCCTGTGCTAGCATTAGCAAATAGGCTAGCATATAGCCTCTTGCGCTGTGACTGGGCAAAGATGGCTTATGATTGGCTAATAGTATCCTGCTTCTGCGCTAGGATTGGCTAGTAGTTCAAAACATGGTACTCAACATCAGATGCATGTAAAAATATACATATAACAGTGCACACATGCATACATTTGCTAGGAGGATGTACATAACTACATACAATCTTGAAGTACATACATGCTTTAAGAGTTCCAGTGGCTGTATTAATATAATGGTCCATCTCCTTTTCAAAGGCAGCAGAAATGGACCTTTTGCATGAGAATTCACACTTGTGAATATAAAACATAGCCATTAAAAGTATTAGATATATCATATATACATGTGTGCATTTAGCTCTCTGATTTTCTCAAAGACCAAATAATATGTTTCCTCAAAAACAATATATTTTTATGAATAATATGAACAATAAATCAACCAAGGTTTAACCATTTTTTTCATGTATTGAAAATATTAAAATAGGTGAATAACTGTCTCTGCATGGTTGCTACAAAATGGACCAGGTAGTTAAGTAATTAGGTATTGTGTGTGTATGTATGTATGTGTGTATATATATATATATATATATATATATATATATATATATATATATATATATATATATATATATAGTTTAACTTAATCAAATATTACAACACTTTTCAGTCTTACAGCAAACTTAAATCCTTATATACCTACTACGACATTTATTTCAGAGGCTCAATAAATAAATTCTTTCGAGTAAGAAAACTTTGAGGCGTGGCCTACATTTACCTTATTTTGTGGCAGGTAGTTCATTTTTTTATTCATGCATTTATTCATAACAATTATAACACACATCCCTACAACATAGGTCAATATTATACTAAATGCTAAAATACTAATTAACAGTCGCAAAATAATATAAAATATCATAAAATGAAATTCAAACAACAAACAGACTAGATAAGTAATTAACATTTTAAAAATCCTAATGATAATCAGACACTGGGGGAATCAGAATAAGTTGCAAAGCTCCAGATAATCTGAGGAAAGTGTCTCTTCTTATCACTGATCAATTTAAGGGCAGTGATCCAGTGTTCAATTTCTATTAACAACTACAATCGCAGGAATTGAATCAGAGGTTTATGAATAAAATGATTTCCAGATAATATAAGATAATTAACAACATGTTCAAAAGCAGTATCTCACAAGCACTCCACTGTTTCTGAGGCAACATCCCACCAGCCAATCCCAGCGCAGGGGAGCGGGGCTTGTCGGAATGCGGGCGTGAAAAGAAAATCCGCTCTCTTTACGTGTCTCCGTCGCTCCGCCCACGCGCGGCCAGTGAGGGTTTTTTCGCTTTTTTTCGTTGCGTCCATTTTTTTCCCTGTATTTAAGAAATCTTGAAGAATCACCCAACCTGGAGGGAAGGAGGAAGGCAGAACAGAAGGGAGCGGAGGAGGAGAGCCAGAGGAGAGCGGACCTGAGAGCGGGACTCGACGTGTTTTGAATACATTAAGGATGCCAGGAGCCTTTTCTTGCAGGATGACGGCGACGAGGATGGGGAGGATTTAACATGACTGCAAAATAAACTAAAATCAAAGGCAAGAGCTGACACTGACACTTCACCCCTCTGCCAGGGCCAGGTGATGGACAGATGGCGGGCTGTAGTCTGTACAGCTGGAATACACGTTGTTTTTCCTCGCGCTGTTTCCTGTTGTGTCCTCAGATGAGCAGCTGGAGAGATTTTAGAGTAGATGCTAGTTCCCCGTTGCTATCAGCGTTCCTCTGTTTCTGAACCTCCTTTAGGACCAAGGACGTTCCAACTCGACCAGTTTTGTGGCAGATAGGTTATAAAATCCCTCTATTATACGTCCAGCTCCTCGTGTTTGGTGTAAAAGACTAGCTGAATGACGGCCACCATCATAGCCTGCACGAAGCCGAAGTTAGCCTCTTATTCTCCGGCTTCCTTTTCGAATTTTTCCGTTCCACCTTAAATGCGGCAGCTGAGCGGCGCTGCACGGGCGCCGGAATGGAACGGCTGCACCATTTAAGGTAGAACGGGGAAATTAGTAATAGGAAGCCAACTCTAACCTCGTATAGCGTCGTTTCAGGTAAAAATTAGTGCAAGCTGGCTCGGGTTTAAGCTTGTCGGTGTTGTTTTTTTTTTTTCCAGCAAGTGGCCGTGAAGATGTCCGCTCCTCTCGGGCCCCGAGGCGGGCCGGCCGCGGTGCTGCCGGACATGCCGGACCTGAGCCACCTCACCGAGGAGGAGAGGAGGATCATCCTGGACGTGATGGACCGTCAGCGGCGAGAGGAGGAGAAGGAGCAGTCCATGCTGAAGTAAGCCCAGGGCTGCAGCCCTGAGTAGCGTTAGCCGTGTGTGCTGGAGACGGGCTAGGCCGGGTCTTGGTGTCTTTTGGTGCTTCAGGTCATGAGAACTGATGTGATTTTTGATTTTGCGTGCGGTTCTGGTTCTTGATTTGCGTGCCGGAGAACATCAGGGAAGCTTCTAACCACGTTGCCATGTTTTAGCCAGCCTCATCATATCCTTTCAGCCTTGAATCCAGGCCTGCTTGGCTCTCTAGCCATGTTGGCTATTGAGAGACGCCATTTTTCACTCTTTTTGACATTTTACATCACACCGTGCAACAAATTTACGTCATTTACGCTCAGATCGCCCTTTCTAGCTTCTGACCCGTCGAGGCTGTCAGATTTAGAGCAGGCAGAGAGAGGATCTGGTTGATGTATTGAGCTTCAGCTGCTGTAATGCTAGCAGGGAGCGTTTTCAGCACCCCGGCGCTGTCCACTCCTGCTACACCAATCTGGCTCGTTCTGGTCGAGCTTACAGGGGAACTCCACCATTTTTTCAACATTTCTGTATCATTTAGTCCTTGAGCAGTAAACAGAGCCATTCAGAGCGGTTTGATGTGAAATGGTTCATTGTAGAGAAACTTAGAGACTCTGATTTGTTTACAGTGGTGGTGATAGGAACCAGGGGTCACATTACATTACATTTACTATCCACAACCACCAGAGAAGCTGCAAGCTGCAAAATAGGTATTAAAAATAATAATGAAAATAATACGTTTTCTTTGAGGGACTATTTTGCCTTACAACACCCTGCATGTATCCCTCCGCCATGAGTGGATTAAAATAGACGGATTAAAATGCAAACTGTCCTTAAACAAAGTGTCAGAGATCCGCCAGCATATATCTAACTACTTCATGTAAAAACTTTCTGTGAGGGAGCTTTTATAGGTGGACGTCTGGTTCCTGTCACCACCGCTGTGATCAAGACTGACTCTGTAGGTCTCAAACCACTCTGGACGACTTTGTTTACATCTCAATCATTTCATCCTGCAAAATTTTTGGAAAAGCGGTGGAGTTCCCCTTTAAGTAGTCTTTGTAGAGACACTATATGTCCTGGCACTTCTTCTAATTAGTGAATTCAGCTCATTCAGCTACTTTAAGGTGCACCCATTGCTGACACAGGCATGCAGTTGTGCACACAGCTTGTATAATCTCCATAGAAAAGCATTGCCAATGCTTTAGAGCAGCCTCAGGTCGTCATGCCTAATACCGAGCTAGAGGGGTACAAAGCCCCCCAGCATAGGGCTGTGAAGCAGTGGGGCTGTGTTCTCTGTAGTGAAGTGTTCCGTCGAGTACCTTTGGGATGATTCGTGATCCAGGACTTATCATCCAACATCCTCAGTAATCAAATCCTCACAGCAATGTACCAACATCTAGAGGAAAGCCACCCCAGAAGAGTAGATTCTGTTACTACAAAGGGAGGAAAACTTTGTATTAATTGGAAGAAACCTTAAATAAACTGACATCTACTAAGTTTTGGACGTAGAGTGTAGTTCATATTATTAATACAGCTCCATTCATTTGGGTAGATTTATATGAGCTCGTTGTGAATATGAATGCCTGCTCTGTTATCTTCAGAATGAGCCCACATTGAAATGGTCTGATAATATGATGCCACCATAATATGATGGCTTTCTGATCAATATAGTGAGATGATTTAATCTATGAAATTAATAAACAGGATGTATATATATAACAGTGTTATATACCTGTACTGCCTTTTGGTTTCAAGCTCTTGTATAACATGGTGTAGGTATTATTTAGAAAGGCAGTGAATTTTGTCTGCTACTGATCTGCTTGTAATCATGTGTTTGACTAAACTCAGAGCACATGGCTCTGAATTTCAGATCTCTGTCTCAGTGAAATTCCCCATTAAGTCAAACACAGTTTAATTGTGGCATTTATATCTTTAGTACACTATGACCATTGATTTAGAATGGCATATGCTGTCAAACTCTGGTCATCTCCTGGTCAGCATCTGCTGTCAAAGTCTGGCTGTCTTAACTCCTGGCCATCTCTAAGCAGAGCTACACTCTTAAGATGGGGTCCCATAAAGGGTTCTCCTGCTCTTTCACCCCTCATTACTCGCTAGCAGCTCAACACAGGGCCTGGGCATTTCACACATTTCAGAGGGCTGATTACTTCATATGTATATATATATGCCTGGCATGTCAGTACTGCATTTCATGATATCTTATGCATTAATACAGATTTCAGCTCATGAGAGATGGTTAAATTGTTCATATATCAAGTGTTTTGCAACGACTTTAAATGTGGCTCAGATTTCAGAGTGCCTGAACAGTGTAGCTGTCAGTTTTATAATTTATATTTTGGCAGGACTTCACAATAAGACTGGCCTTGTAAAGGCTTTATGAATGATTTAAATATGAGTTCATTAATGGTTACGTGTTAGGTCATAAATATCTTAAAAATCATGAATAAGCAGTTATAACACATGAATAAAAAGGACAACAGTGACCTCTTGCTTGCCAAATGGTGAGCCCACATACTGTTACTATAGTTTAAGCTGTTAAACCACAGATCTTGTTGGCTACTTATCTTACTTTATCTTCTCCAACAGCCAGCATTAGTGTTGGGTTGGAATTGTGGTAATAAGGTATAGCACGGTATTTAAAAACTATAATGGTGTATGATGGCTGCGTTATGATTTCTGTTCCACATCTGGAGAGCCAGATAAACACATTCCATCCATTTATATTTTATAGAGAGGCTTACTGATAGGTGGTGCTGATAGAAAGGGGAAAAATTAGAGCCTGGAAAAACTTAGAAAAACTGTGCGTGACAGCAGCTCAGTGACGACGACTGCCTTAAAAGTTTTGAGTTACTTGAACGTCAGATAATAAGGTGATGGGGTGATTTTAAGGCAGTCTGGACGCTAACTTTTTAAAATTAAAAACAATTGTTTTTCACAGTGTGTTTGATTTCAACCTTCACTTTAACACCGGTCACTTGAGTTTGCGCTCAGGTATCCACTAAACAGGCATCATTTTAGCATCAGTTAGCTGAAACCCAGCCTGTGCTGTGCTGTGATGTGCGGCACATTTGGCCTGCTAACCAAGCTCTCATTAGCTTAGCCAAAACGCTACAGTCCCAAACACAACAACAGACATCAGACATCAGTTTTTTATCATCTGCACTTGTTTGAGCAGAGCAGCAGTTAGTCAGAATCAAACCTGTACTGTGGACTGTGTAGCCGGCTTGCTAAGCTAATATTAAATTAGCTGTTAAGCTGACCATGGAACAGGTTTGATCTTGCCTTTCTATCCCCTCAGCGGCAATTGCCCAACAACACTCCCTCAGATTTTAATCATTATTAGCTGAACTTGTGTCGGTGCTTCAGTTAGCCAGAATCAGACAAGTTCTGTGGTGAGCAGAGCTGTTATACTAGGTAAGCGAATGGTAACCAGCTTCTCTCTCCTAGTTAGCAGCACTGTTGAACATTTAGTAATGGGAAATAATTGTTTTGTGGTGAGCAGAGCTGTTATCTTGCTGGTTCAGCTAGAGCTAACAAGCTCCTCTCTCCTAGTTAGCAGCACGGTTGGACATTTAGCAGTTGTTAGGTAGATTAGATTAGTGACGATTTAAAGGTGTGGAATTGTGTGGTTTACCGTGATACCCTAGTGTTTATGACCTAATAAAAAACCACTAATACACAAATTTTAAACCATCAATAAACCCTTTATAAGGGTCTTATTGTAAAGTGGTGCTGATATTTTGATGGATTGTGTTCTTGATTTTAGTCTTGCTGTTTAATGGCTAATTGCAGAGTAACAACGGTCAGTTATTGGCCAAAGTTTTCATCCTTGGTTTGGTAAGTCTCCGTTTGGTGATTAACTTTATAAAACAAGTCATTCCGGTTCTGTAAAATCTGATTGGCTGAGCCGTTCGGTGCCATTGTTTGAGCAGGAAAACCACCAAAGTGGCCCTGCAGGGTCAGAGTTGAGCACTCCTGGTGTAGGGCCTCTTTCATCTACGCTCACCTGCCTCATCTGTTCACATGCTCTCGGAGCATGCTCAGTAGTAGCTACATGGTCAGGAAAAGCAAACGAATGACGTGTTGCACGTTCTCACGAGGGCCCCTCTGTACCCGGATTTGTTTGCTTTAGCCTTTGGAACGATTGTGACAGCTTACAGAGCCGTAATGGAGGCTGTGTAGTGGCGCTTTCTCGTCATTAGTTAAATATTAATGCTGGTGGGCGTGCGGAAACCGAGCAGAGATGGTGCAATACTTATGGTTAAAGTGACTCATCGACTCGAAGCCTCAGCCACCTCGATGCTGGTGTGTGAATCATCCTATACACACTCACTCTCTCACATGCTATTCAGCATTTGGCCACTTTGTCGTTTCTCAGTCAGAGGACAAGAAAGAAAGTGAATGAGCTTTAGCTCGCTGCCTCCAGCCCTCGTGTCAATAATGAGGATCGTCATTGGTTACCACCCGAGCCTTTGATCTGCTGGCATATTGTGTGGTGTAGAGTTACAAAACAGCAGAGCGAGCTAGGTAGCTCATGACTAATGCGTACGTAGACCTCATGTCTTCTCTTTGTCAGAGGGCTGCAGTTGGCTCGGGCTTTGTCATGTGTTCCCCCGGCCTGCTTCGTCTATTTTTATTTTTTTCAGAGGGAGGCCGTTCACAGGGTATTGTAAGGTTATTGAAGAGGCAGTACTTTCGACCATGTCAGCTCAATACGGCTTTTAAATATTCATAATGGATGGTTAAATATGAATATTTGACCCCCTTGCGGTTTGAGTATGCATGCATACCTCTAATAGGACTCGCTGTGCCATTTGAAGGGCTTATCCTGCTTTTTTCTGTATGACATTTGTGTAGTTTTATGTACCAAAATCAGACATAATTCATTTTTAGATGTCCATTTTCCATGTACTCTTTATGCCTATATGCCTTTAAGAATGATATATAAAATTGAACCCTTTTCTCATTGGCTGCC